GCATTGCCTTGCTAGCTTCATGTACTTCTTTTTGTTCAGTGTAATCGGGCGTTTGATGGAGATTCCGTGTAGAAAATTTTCAAGGATTATCGTAGCCTAGGGAGGGAGGCTTCGGGGCTCCACTAGCTTAAAATGTGTTAGCAAATATTCCAATGTTTTGAGGAAATTATTTATATTATCCAAAAATAAAGTAATATTGTCTTCCACAAGTTGCCTTTAAATAACATTCTAAAATCTGTTATGGAAAGTAAAATGATCGGAATGTAATACAAAATACAGGAAAAATGCAAACCTAAATCTATTTTTCTAAGCGTGATCACATGACGACTCACGAAAACTCTTGCTGAAGCTTCCACATGTCGCCACATAGGTCAACTAATGTATCTAGTAAGGTAAATATTTATAATAAATGACAGCTCTACAATGCATATTTCGAGGACGAATGTACATATCTAGCCGCCTAGAAACTTTAAAACCACTTTGCAAAGAAAACAAGAGTTGCCCTATTGTTTGTTATTGTAAGCAGGTAAATCATTTCATTCATTCTAGATTTGGACCTGTTAAGTTGTTAGTGTTGACTTAATGTTGTTATCTGTGCTCCATGTTATGTGAACAACTCAGGGGGTAATATATTCACTGGCTGGGTAATGAACTGGCCAGGCTAATTGATGAACTAGAATTGTTACAGTCAATTCTCAGTAGACATGTCTGTGAAGATCAGTACGGTCAAGACTCAGTAGACATGTCTGTGAAGATCAGTACGGTCAAGACTCAGTAGACATGTCTGTGAAGATCAGTACGGTCAAGACTCAGTAGACATGTCTGTGAAGATCAGTACGGTCAAGACTCAGTAGACATGTCTGTGAAGATCAGTACGGTCAAGACTCAGTAGACATGTCTGTGAAGATCAGTACGGTCAAGACTCAGTAGACATGTCTGTGAAGATCAGTACGGTCAAGACTCAGTAGACATGTCTGTGAAGATCAGTACGGTCAAGACTACGCAGGAGCCACAACATATCTATGACACATACAGTAACACACTCCTGGGTGCCACTAGTGCCTGACTTCAGCTGGGGCTACAAGTGTCTCTGTGAGTGTGTGCACCACCGGATGATGTAGACACAACCAAGCATAATCCTTGCTATAAGAACTACTGTCACACCCTGCGTTACTGTGTGCTGGAATATAACAATATATGTGAATTCCTAGAGACAATTTACTAGCAGATGTTCAAGAAACATTAAAGTATTTTATTCCTAGTGCGATGCTACCAGCCATTCTGGCAAAAAATACTCAGATTTTTTTCCTGTTGTAAATATAGCTAGGCTGTAGTGCTTTGTGACTCAATACTAGACTGTAGACTCGTTATCATAGTTATAAATTGGGTAAATAGTTCATGACCATTGTAATTTGCTTAGCAAACACAAATGTTGGGGCACATATAATGGGCCCAGTCCTTGGACCCATTATGTGCCTCTGTGATTCTGGACTACTACCCACAGGACACAGGATGAGTATAGGGTGACTACTGCCCACTGGATGGTTATATACTTGAAGTTTATATGATAATAAAACTTATTAGACATGCCTGTATATATCGGTACGGTTAAGCCATAGTAGACGTGTGTGTTAGTAAGTTTATTCAGGTATACACAAATACAGTTACATAGAATTATCATACATATCAGCATATGTGTAGAGGACCTGGGATAACCCAAAAAAGTCAGAGTGACATTTCCATTGGGGTCCTTTTACCTTATTATTATAATATAAAGGTTATAATATTTTCTTATTATTCTGCAATGAAGATAACATCTTATTATCATACTAAAAAGACTATCTACTACACCAAGGTCATTAAGACTATCTACAATACGAGGGTCATTACTAGGAATAATGTAAAATTTACACGTGTGTTAGCTAAAAAATAGAAAATCATTCCCCTCCCTTTCTGTAGCTACATTCATCAGACACCTTTTGGCACTCTTCTTGAACTGGTTCATGCTATGACTGACTTTGACATGTGCGGGTAGTCTGTTCCATTCCTTTATTGCTGTACAATAAAAGGTGTTTGAAGCCTGGCCAATGACTGTGGGTACTACAAAGTTGTGCTCTCTCCCCCTGGTACTATGATTGCTTTGGTTCCCAACCTTGACAATGTCGATACTGTTATGCTCCGAAGACATGTCTGTGAATATATGTAAGTACCATGTTCAGTACATGTCTTTAAATACCAGTATGACCAAGACTGAGTGTGGACCTTATTAATAATATAGTCAAATCTGTAGCACGTATGATATTACGACAATTTGTTAATAGTATCGCGATACCGACAGGTTCATGAATAAGACACATGTGCAACACTTTGGTACCTATTTTCTCAACTCATTCGACCGAAGAAGCCTACTGGGGAGGCGGAACGTTACGGAAATACAGATCCCAAGACACTGCACGTGTCCCAATCACCAGTTTATTAATAGGCGGGACTGAGCATAAGTAAATAATATACTTAATGGAACAAGTGTATCCAGATTCCAATCAACACTATGTAAAATATAATGCTAAAATTTATCCATCCTCAAAAAAAAAAAAAAATTGCTGAGTGCCAATGGTATTCTTTGTCTTATCTGATCGTCACAGCGTTGTGGTTACCTGGAGAGGGTTTCGGGGGTCAACGCCCCCGCAGCTTGGTCTGAGACCAGGCCTCATGGTGGATCAGGGTCTGATCAACCTGGCTGTTACTGCTGGCCGCACGCAAGCTGACGTACGAACCACAGCCCGGTTGGTTAGGTACTGACTTTAGGTGCCTGTCCAGTGACTTCTTGAAGACAGCCAGGGGTCTATTGGCAATCCCCCTTATGCATGCTGGGAGGCAGTTGAACAGTCTTGGGCTCCTGACACTTATTGTGTTGTCTCTCACTGTACTCGGGGCGCCCCTGCTTTTCATCGGGGGAAAGTTCTTGTGTAGTTTTGTAACATGTGACACTTTTTGTATCCGATAAACCTCATACAACATAGTCATGTTCAACATAGTCATGTTCAACATAGTCATGTTCAACATAGTCATGTTCAACATAGTCATGTTCAACATAGCTCCCACATATTCTAACCCTAACCAACCGATGTCGAGTATTTTAAAATTATTGTTTCAGTCTGCTGTTCTTCTATGTAATTATAAATGCGTAAAATATCTGAAATATTTTTTCTTGGGAAGGTTAGTCAGGAAACAGGACCAAGTGTTTACTGACGCGGGTCTTAGTCTTATGATGACCCACACCTGGAGCTTTTGGTTATCTGACCGAGGCCTTCCACTGGCTTACCCCTCCACCCCATTAAAAATTATGGTCATAGTTGTAACCATGTTTTAAGACTATTTTTGTTGCAAAGAAAAAAAATGTGGTAAATATTGAATTCAAGTCGTGGTCAGAGCTCAGGTATGATATTATGTAAAATACAAACTAATATTATGTAAACAAAGGCGCGCCAATCCCATATCTACTACTGGCGGAGTAAGGTTAAGTTACGTTAGGTTACTTTAGGTTGGGTTAGATTAAACATTTTAAAGAGTAAATTGAATATTGGCAGGCAGGGTCAGACTCTCCAGACAAGTCTGTGGACATAGGTACAGTAGACATGTTTGTGAAGATAGGTACAGTAGACATGCCTGTGAAGATAGGTACAGTAGACATGCCTGTGAAGATAGGTACAGTAGACATGCCTGTGAAGATAGGTACAGTAGACATGCCTGTGAAGATAGGTACAGTAGACATGCCTGTGAAGATAGGTACAGTAGACATGCCTGTGAAGATAGGTACAGTAGACATGCCTGTGAAGATAGGTACAGTAGACATGTTTGTGAAGATACGTGCAACAGACATGTTTGTGAAGATACGTGCAGCAGACATGTCTGTGAAGATACGTATACTAGACATGTCTGTGAAGATAGGTGCAGCAGACATGTCTGTGAAGACAGGTACAGTAGGCATGTCTGTGAAGATAGGTACAGTAGACATGTTTGTAAAGATACGTACAGTAGACATGTCTGTGAAGACAGGTACAGTAGACATGTCTGTGAAGACAGGTGCAGTAGACATGTCTGTAAAGACAGGTACAGTAGACTTATCTGCGACTGAGGTGTATAAATGGAAAACAGGAATAAGTAAAGGGGATGTGAGTGGCGTGCTAAAAATATCAAACCAAGACAGGACTCACAGTAATGGGTTTAGGTTGGAAAAAATTAGAAAGGATATAAGAAACACTGGTTTGGTAATATAGTTGTGGATGAGTGGCCTTTTTCACGGTGTCTGTGAAGATCAGTAGAACCATGAGACAGTACATATATCTAAATACCAGTTGAACCATGAGACACTATACGTCTGAATACCTATGAAGACAGGTAGAACCATGAGACAGTAGAGATACCTATGAAGACAGGTAGAACCATGAGACAGTAGAGATACCCGTGAAGACAGGTAGAACCATGAGACAATAGACATGCCTGTGAAGAAAGGTAGAACCATGATACAGTAGACATGTCTGTGAAGAAAGGTAGAACCATGATACAGTAGACATGCCTGTGAAGAAAGGTAGAACCATGATACAGTAGACATGCCTGTGAAGAAAGGTAGAACCATGATACAGTAGACATGTCTGTGAAGACCAGTAGAACCATTGTACAGTAGACATGTCTGTGAAGACCAGTAGGACCATTATACAGTAGACATGTCTGTGAAGACCAGTAGAACCATTGCACAGTAGACATGTCTGAAGACCAGTAGGACCATTATACAGTAGACATGTCTGTGAAGACCAGTAGAACCATTGTACAGTAGACATGTCTGTGAAGACCAGTAGGACCATTATACAGTAGACATGTCTGTGAAGACCAGTAGAACCATTATACAGTAGACATGTCTGTGAAGACCAGTAGAACCATGATACATTAGAGGTGTGTGAAGTAAGGTACGGTCTAGTATGGTTGCCATTAGTTGCAGTATGAGCCGCGTGATGGCGCTGAGGCGCTAGTGGCGCGCAGAGCGTGGTGTGAAGAACCGCCATGATTGTACTGCGGTTCCTAAGCACCTGAATCGGTGTTTTTTTCTCCAATTAATTCTTTGTGTGTGTTGGAAAGAGAAAACAAGCAAAATGGGCACATCCTAGTTGGTGCCCCCCACAATTTGCGGTGGGCTGTGGCCCACTCAGCCCCCCGTGAAGTAAATTATGAAGTGTTTTGTGGTGGTGGGGGCTTGCTAATATTTGTGCTAGCAAAATGAGCAAGTTTCGTGCGAGGCAGCTCGACGCCTCAAAACCCATCCCTGTGTATATGCAAGAGGATATACCGGACTATGCGGAATTTAACGCCATCAACAGGACGGTGCCGCAGATGCCGACGGGCATGGAAAAGGAGGAAGAAACGGTAAGTGAGGGAGTGAGGGAGGCGCTGCCTGCGCCGCCCGCCGCCATCTTCCCTCCATCACCCGCCAAATTCAAAACCCACAAATTCCTGGAGATGATATTGTCGTATTTTCTCTCTCATTATTCTCATGACAACCTCACATTTACTCCCCTTATGGGTCGTTCGTTGCAAATAATGTTGAAGGAGAGGGTTAAAATAAGTGGTGGGGGTGGAAATGTGTGTTTTAAGTGTTGTGAGAGGTGAGTGGCACTGGCACTATAGACCTATACCAGTGCCACATTCCTGACCTATACTCACACTACACTATTAGTAATAATACATGCTTCTCTCATGCTCTATTTATTTTTTTATTTACAAAGCCATAAAGCTAAAATAAACACATAGATGTGTAGTGTCTGACTTATTTTGGGGTTATCCTAGGTAATTTACACATATAATACTATCTACAAACATTATCTCTCAGTTGTTAAGCATATGTTACTATGTATGATGATTTGTGTAACTGTATTTATGTGTGCCTGTACCTAAATAAACTTACCTCTGGTGCCATATACTTTATTATTGTGCCACTGAAAATCACCTGACACATATCTCTCAGTTTAATTTTCACAGACTTTATTTAGATACATTTGCTCCCTGAATATAAATATTATACATATAAACATTTTGATTGTTTAGTGTTTCTGAACAAGGTCAGCATTAACTTGAGCTACTCAGAAAATCTGGGTTATTATGTAAATTTTCCAACAGTAAGTTGGTTGTGCCTAAAGGAACAAAACTTTTTTTTTTTGTAATAAATTAACCTAGTCTAACCCAGTCTAACAACACTTAACCTACATTTTGAGTTACATGTAATACTTGGTTAGATCAGGTTAAGTTACATTTGGGTTGGGTTGTTTTGGTTAGGTTACATTAGGCCTTATTTTTCAGTACCAAAAAAAAAAAAAAAATATTCTTCCCTAAGGCCTGAAATATAACCTGCTGTTGCATAACCCATTTAATGTTGAATTTATATACTAAAGAAACAAACAGATAAAGTAAATTTTAAATAAAACCTAGAAAAATAGAATTAAAAATTTACACATAAAACATTGATGTCTCTAAACCCATTTATTATTATACACTGTAAGCTATAAATTATCACATAACTCATCCATTATTTTGAAATTTGCAAAAACAATGATGTCATTGTTTTTTAATACATAAGGAGTGCTCATACATAACATGAAGCTTTTTTTTTTTGGTTCTTATTAATGCAGTAAACTCTCATTATAAAGGACCTCTGTATAATGGACTTTTAAAAGTAAAGGGTAAACGGCACTTTTAACTCCTTTATATCAAAAGTTTATTGAAATATAACTGTAAATTGTGAGTACATAGTATATTAGTATATACTATATTTGGTATACAATAGAGTACTTGGGTGCATTTTTTTTGCTGTTTTCTAACATTATTTGATTGAATAGCCACGCAGACAATGAACCTGTGAGTCTGTTATATTGAGTTTTTACTGCACTGCACCAGGGAATTCTTGGTCCTCTTAAAAAAAAAATTGAAAAATACAAATATTCCAGTAATGGTTCCAAGTCCTTTCTTTATTTTTCTTAGTTCTCAAATTTAGAAGGTCTGAGTCTGAGATGGAGGTGCAGAGGTGATAATTCCTGGAACTAACAAAAGATAACAGATAATGATGATGAATGAGAGAAGCCTCAGATTACTCAACCCACTCACCATATACAGCATTTGCTTGCTTCGTATTACAAATGTTTAACATAAAAACATGATTCCTTTGGAATACCACTTGTGACCATTACTCAATGATTATAATAATAATGGCAGTTATAACATAATAATTATTAATAGTAATAATTACAGAATTATACCATAGCAAATAATAATAATAATAATGCCAATAATAAGCACAGCAACAGTAATAACTATAATGACTAATAACAACAACAGTAATAATAATAATAATAATAATAATAATGACTAATAACAGTAATAATAATGACTAATAACTAATAACAATGATGATTAATAATAGTAATAACAATAATGACTAATAACAGTATTAACAATAATGACAAATAACAGTAATAACAATAATTAATAATAATAATAATATTATTAACAGTAATAATATTAGCAACAACAACAACAACAATAATAATAATAATAATAATTAATAATGATAATAAATAATAATAATGCCAATAATAACTAATAACAGTAATAACTAAATAATAATAATTAATAATAATATAATAATAATAATAATAATAATAATAATAATAATGCCAGTTAATAATAATAATGCCAATAATTAACAACAACAACAACAATAATAATAATAATAATAATAATTATAATTAATGACAACAGTAATAACAATGACAATAATAATAATGCCAATAATAATAACAGTAATAACAATAATGACTAATAACAATAAGAATATAATAATGCCAATAATAATAACAGTAACAATAATGACTAATAGTGACAATAAAGATACATAAAGATAAAGATAAAGGTTTATTTCTTTGTAAAGGTTACAATGTGTAATTACAATTTTGGTTTGCTGAAAGAAAGCCACTATTGTGCCAGGGCATTTCAGGCAGACTAATCCTAATACATGCACATAGTAACAACTTAAAACTAGACAGATAATAATACACACATAATTGCTACTAAAAACTAGACAAGATAGTAGTGGTTAACTGTATTTATTTATTTATTTATTTATTTATTAATTTATTAATTTGAACATGATACAGAGAAGTACAAAAGAATACAGTTAAGTGCAGCATGCCAAAGCCCCTTGTATGCAGAGCATTATGGGCAGGCTTAAAATTAACTTAAGATTAACTAAGCAATGATATATTCAGTGGTAAAACATTATTGTAAACAGATAACAATAAAGCACAAATGAGTATTACAAAGACAGGTCATATGGTTGCATGCATTGCTGTACATTCAGTAGAATGGAGTATTCTGTTAGGTAATGTAATTAAAAAATAACAAAGTTTGATTGAGTCTCGGGTTAAACATTTTTGTGATACAATTATGAGAAACATTTAAGATACACAATTTATAAGATACAGTTATTCAGTATTTATTTGGTTGTGGATGGGTAAGTGATTTTTGAGAAGAGACTTGAGTTTATAAACAGATAGTGTTTCTTTTATATTTACAGGTAATGAATTCCAGATTTTAGGGCCTTTTATGTGCATTGAATTTTTGCATAGCGTGAGATGGACACGAGGAACATCAAAGAGTGATCTGTGCTTTGTGTTCTGGTCATGTGTTCTGTTGAGGTTGGTAAGGAGACGTTTGAGAGGAGGGTTTATATCCGAGTTAAGTGTTCTATGTATGTAATAGGTGCAGTAATAAGTATGGATATTTTGTATGGTGAGTAGGTTTAGAGTTTTGAATATTGGTGGAGTGTGCTGTCTAGAGTTTTGAATATTGGTGGAGTGTGCTGTCTGTAGTGGGAATTTGTTATCATTCTGACTGCAGCCTTTTGTTGGGTAATTAGTGGTCTGAGATGGGTTATTGTTGTTGAGCCCCATGCACATTTTTATTTAATCTTAATGCTAATGCTAGGTAGTCAAGGTAGAGGTTTTTAAGAATAATAATAATGAAGTTGCACATAATAAAAACAGTAGTACAAATAATGGTTCAGGCAGTAATATTTCATGGACTGACAGAAGTTTAAAAGCCTAGAGGTCACATAATATAACTAATTAGCATTTGTTTTGGTTGACTTGCTTAATATTGAGAGATAAGATGATTTTTTAGCAAAGTTCTAAATTTATAAGTATTCAGGGGATCCTTTACTGGTTCCGGTACCGAGTTCCAGATCTTCGGGCCCATTATGTGCATAGCATTTATGCATAGTGTAAGGCTGACACTGGGGATGTTGAAGAGTGCCCTATGTCTTGTATTGTGACTGCATTCTGTTCTAACTGTCAAGGAGGAGTTTAAGTGGAGGGCTTATAGTGGAATTTAATGTTCTGTATATGTAGAAGGCAAAATAATACGAGTGTATGTCTCGTATATTTAGCAAATTTGGGCTTTTGAAAAGTGGTGGGGTGTGCTGCCTAGCACAGGAGCTGGTAATCATCTGCACAGCAGTTTTTTGTTGGGTTATTAAAAGTTTAAGGTGGTTGGCTGTGGTTGATTCCCAGGCACAAATACCATAATAATAATAATGATAATAATAATAATAATAATAATAATAATAATAATAATAATAATGATATAATAATAATGATAATAATAAAGTTGTTTGATACAAATGTGTCTTACATGGTAGATCTCATATTTATGCAAGGCATTCGAAGCAGACTTATGCTAAAAAAAAAACTAGTAGAACAGTGGTACATATACAGTAGTAGATATACTTATCACAGAATATTTAAATACAGTTACAAATGCTTTGCAAAATACTAAAACTGTTCTGATGTCACATATGAACATACGATATAGTACATACACTATAGTCATGCAGTGGAGATGTTGTTATCCAGATATACAGGTAATTTATTTGCAGTAAATTCGGTATGGTTATACTTTTTTTGAAAATTATTATATGATGATTACATAACTGACGTAAAGCCCATAATAAGCACAGAATTTCTAGCAGAATTTAGGCAATTCAGACACATACCCTTGTACACAGTTTAAATAAAAGTTTGGAGTGCTATGAAATTCCAGAATTTAACATATTATGTATGTATGATAGGGAGACTAATATACAAAAATTTATTGTTTAAACACACATATAAAGAATAGCAACTAATGTGGTAATCAGAATTTTGAAATCATCTAATATAGGACTAATCCTAACAAATAAATCGAGAAGTACACATGAACATTCACAAAATTAAAAATATAAATGTGAAAATGTAATGCTGTCAGAAATATGGGCGAGATGCCAGCAAAACTAAGGTCTTGTATATGGGCACTGTACAGTGTATTGAAGGGTAAATATT